TATATATATATATATCTGGCAATTTAGTTCCACGCTTGCTTAGTTTAGCATTAAAGGAAAGAAGAAACGAAGGAAGGAAGGAAGGAAGGAAGGAAGGAAGGAAGGAAGGAAGGAAAATGCAGAGGAAGAAATGAGGAAGGACATTTTAAAAAGCACAAAAATTACTCAAAAAGTTAATGAATTAAAAGAGGAACAAAAAAAAAACCCATAATCTCCTCAACACATATGGAAAAACCAAGATTTAGAACACAGTATCCATGTATTATAAACACAATGAAACAAACCAAACAAATCACAACAAAAACAAAAAACAAAAACTCTCAGTGAACTAGAAACAGAAATGTGCCCTCTCCAACTGATTAAGAGTACATTAAACAAATAACAACAAGAAAACAACAGTGTACATTATTCTTAATGGTGAAAAACTAACTGGAATTAATTAACAAAGCTATAAGGAAACTAGAAATAAATCTAACAAAGTAAATGAAAGACCTATATGCAAACACTTTATTGAAGTGTTTTATTTAACTTATTTAGACTTCATTAAAGAAGATCTAAAGAAATGAAGAGCTATACCACGTGTGTGGTTAGGAAGACAAAAATAACACAAATAAAACCAACCTTTCCAAATTGATGTGCGTATTGGGGTGCCTGGGTGGCTCAGTTGGTTAAGTGTGGACTTTTGGTTTTAGCTCAGGTCATGATCTCAAGGTTCGTGGGATCAAGCCCCATGTCAGGCTCTGTGCTGATGGCATGGAGCCTGCTTGGGGTCCTCTCTCCCTCTCTCTTGGCCCCTCCCCTGGTCTCTCTCTCAAAAGAGTATAAACTTTAACAAAAAGCAAATTGATGTGTATATTCAGTGTAACCTATTGAAAATCCCAATGTTCATAGAATTAAAAGCTGATCCTAAAATTTATAATTACTAAGATTATTCAGACTTGTATGGAGGAGAACAATAAAGAATCCTTGCTCTACAATTTACGAGGCTTATTATATGATACCAGTGGCTATACTATTGTCACTATGTAAATATCTCTCTTACTTTAGATGTCATATCTGATTTTTCTCTTGTATTCTTTTATTTCCCAACTAGGTACTTGTTCACCTTTTAAGAGCAGAGCAAAGCAATGTTTTAGAAATCTGAGGCGAGAATAATTTTATTGGCTCTAATCATTAGTAGCAGCAGCCTTAATTGTCCCTGCATAAATAGTTCTCTGCTCATTTTCCAAGAAGGCAGAATTAGAAGCAAGCTTAGTGTAGTTAGGGATAAAAACGACTGTTTTGTAGGAGAGGATTCTGGAAAGACTACATCTTGAGAAAAGCCTACAACAAAAGAGTTAGGTGTCTGATTGTTTTCAGCCTTTGCCTTCTCACTGTCCCCACTCTGTCTTGCTCACCACATCCTCTGGACTGGAATGGCCTTGCACTCATTCCATACCAGAGTTCAGGAAACTCCACTCTTCTAGATGGAAATGGACTCTGTGTTTACCAAACATTGCTTTATTAATTCAATGCATAATTACTATTCCTTTCCTTAATGGTGAAAAACATAGTGTTCAGCAGCAGACAAATGACAGATTGTGTTCTGTGGGGAAGCTGAATGGATTCTAAGCTTAGTGTGGTTGGGACTAATGACCTGTGTGCCCTGCCATGCCACGGCAACCACAGGAGATACTGATGAAAAGATACGAGAAACAGAACGTTGGAGTAAGCTTACTGTCATTACCGATGCATATCGAATAACTGCTGTCTATTTACTAAATGTCGGATGATTTGTAAAAACTGTGCCTTTAATTCCATATAATTAGAGGCTGGAAACACATGATGGTTTTGTAGCCACTTGTAGCCTACCTGCGTACATTCTGGTATTTTCTGCTCAATAATAAAATTAGCTAATTCTAAATTAGCAAACTGGCAGGTGCCTTTGGGTTCCTCTTTCTTATTTCCCATGGCCCTTGAGTTAGTATGTTACCCTTCAAATGACAATAACTGTACCTATAAAATGTGTACATGTTCAAGTGTGTTAGAAGCATTTTTCTCTGGCAAAAATTAGATAATGTTCCTGAAGTTCTTAATGCAACGTTTCTGTTATTGCTATTATTACTTTTGTCTTCATGCTTTATTTCTAGAAATTGATGTTTTTAATTGATGTATAATTGACATAGAATATTACATGAGTTTCAGGCGTACATCAAAGTGATTTGGCAATTATATATATTACAAATTGCTCACCAGGATAATTGTAGTTACCATCTGTCATCATACAAAGTTGTGATAATATTAGTGGTTACATTCCTCGGGCTTGAATTTTCACTCCTGCGACTTATTTTATAATTGGAAGTTTGTACTTTTTATTTTTTTTATTTTTTTTTTTAATTTTTTTTTTCAACGTTTATTT